GCTGTGCTGTTTTGACGCGTGCTGTTTTGACCGTGCTGTTTTGTCGCGTGCTGTTTTGACCGTGCTGTTTTGTCGCGTGCTGTTATGTCGTGTGCTGTTCTGTCATGGTGCCGGTGGAATGAAGAACGAACCTGTTTGCAAATGCATATTCTGGTAACTCATAAAACACAAATAAGTTCTTAGCACTGGTTGATTGTTTATTTTATTTGACCAACAATGAAGTGAAAGTTTGTAATTTTTGTCGTGACTGAAAACGCGGCGCACGTCGTGTTGTCTGCCAGCATAATCGATGATGGAATAAACGAAAGCAACGCGTGCCTGCCAATCAGCTCGCGGAAAACTCACGTGACACCCTAGTTTCTTATAGGTTCCAATGCAGAAATATGCGGATCGCAAATTCGTCTGCTTTTTGTACAGGGATTGCGATGATGTCAGAACCCCGAGCTCTTATTGATTGGTTGATAAAAATAGGGGGTAGACCTCAAGTAATCTATCATTGAGATATACCCAGTGTCCTTTCAATCAGAGCCAGTCAGAGTTCGGCGTCCTTCTGACGTCACGAGCAACTCCTGCGCAAGAAGCGGACGACTTGTTCTCCGCATAGGTTCCACCGCATTCAAAATTCGTGCGACGCTTCGACGCCAGCCTCGTTTGCCGACATGCTAATCTCGGAGTCAACGTAACGGGAGGCCATTAGACCTCGAACCACACATGGCGTACCTGCAGCCTCCCCAAGAGTCACAGCCCCGCTGTCGTCGGAGCCCGCGCACAGGCTACGCCAAGCGTGCTCTCTGACTGTCTTGTTCTTCGATAAGCGTGCGGATTACGTCAGGGCGGCGCGGGCAGCCAGGCATGCCCCCGCCGGCAGCCAAGGATTCCGGCGTCAGGGACCCCGTCCATGCTAATCGGAGGAAGCGGTGCGCGTCCAAGGACGAACGACCCGCCCCGGACGCATCCGCGGAAACGCAGACGTCCTTCCACCCGTCACGAGTTGCCGAGCTTGCCAGGACGACTGTGGGAGACGCAGGGATATGACTCGAGGAATAGGTCGCACTAAAGGGCTGTCCAAACCATAGTGTTCATTTGATAATGTAAGAAAGGCCCAATGCCTTCCGACCGCCTTGGAATGGCGGGGCATAGAGGCGGGCGTAGAAGGTCCCATGGTGGGTCGGATGGAACCATTTTGCTGGCAACGCTTTGGTATACACGAAGTACGAAAAGAAAAAACAATACTTCCAAGGTTTCTATCTAGATTATTCTAGCTTTAATTTGCACGAAAACACTACCATCGTGTATCGCACTTAGCGCATCGCACATCGCGAAAACACTGGCATTGCATGAAATAAAATATAGTTGGCAAGCACTCGAGCAACTTTAACTTGTCTTCGTACAACGGAGACGGACGCGCCTAAGCCATCGTCAGCTTTCTTTTTCCGCTCTGCTGCTGTTGCTCTCTTCCTCGTTCTTTCTTCGGGATCTCCGATGTAAGTCAGTGCTTATTATTTGCCGCCGAGTTCTGGTCCCTTCTTTACCCCCCTCACCCAAATAAGACACGTTTTTTTTTTTTTCCGTAACATCAAATTTGCTGTACGGAAAGTGAAGGCGTTTTCTCCCGTAAGAAAAATATATTCTGGTTCCGTCCTCGACAGGTTTTTGGAGCGTGCTCATAACGTGGGTCCGGACCGCCACTTACACGGTCTGCTGGCTGTCGTCAAGTCTCTTCGCTGTAGTCACTCCCTAACCTCCCGAAACCAAGAAAGGAGAGGAGACGACAGCCAGTAGGCGAGGTGGAAAGCCGCGCCGTTCGCGTGGTTGATTCCTCCACTGAAGACGAATGCGCGCGCCTCAACATTTACGTTTTCTTAAAGCCTAAACGTTTTCTTTCTTTCTTTTTTTTTTTTTTTACCGTGCACGGCATTTGTTGTATTCTTCTTCAAAAACTCCCTAAAGCAATGTTCCACAAACTGCGGGTCACGACCCCAAGGGGTGTAGCGACAGATTCAGGAGGGGTGGTCCCAAAGCGGCTCGGTAACCTAAAAAGAAAAAAAAAAAAACTTTCCGCTTACATCGACGAAAAAACAAAAACGCACACTGAGCAGTTTGACATTGCACCGGAACTAAGACGCGGTGTCCAAACTCCACATTCGTTTTGAGAAAAAAAAAAAGCTCTAACAAACAAGTTAGCTTTAGCCATTAAAAACAATAATTGCCGCTAGTACGTTTTTTTTTTTTTTAGCGATGGTTTTTAGCTTAGCTGATTCCCTTTGACTATATTACCTGCCAAATAAAAATTCAACGTTTATTCTGTGTCTTGCCGTTCATGCGCTGAAAGTGAAAAGCCTCTGGGAAAGCGTAAAAACGACGGCGGGGGGGGGGGGGGGGGGGGGTTCAGTGGGGGAGGTGGCGATGTAATATTTAGCATTTTCGGCGACTCTCGGAGAAGCACTGTCGTAAAAGCACTACACCAAGGTGATCCACTGCAGTGTCCAGGGTGATGTCCCTGCTTGCAGACGAAACCCGATACCGTCACCACGTGATCACAGAAAAAGTACGAAAAACTAGCTTTAGTGAAAACTAAGAGCTCTAGACAAAACGCCTTTTTTTTCCGTGCTACGGATCAAAACGGGGGGGGGGGGGGGGGGGGGGAGAAAAAAGAAGTAGTATCGTGCCACCAATTGACCTGATCCCACCGTTTTAAGAGACACGTTCGCACATTAAAGCACCCTGCATTACCTTAAAACGAAATCCACTTGTTCGGGTGCTCAAGGGGTTTTTATCCTTTGCAAAACATTTTCCGCGCTAAAAAAACCCATCTTTCTAGCCATCATTGACACCTTGATTATGACGAGCAATAAGAGATTGGAAGCACAAAGGAATCGAGACATCCTAAAAGCAATTATTGAAGCTAGTCGCACATGAGTCTATTGCATTTTGGGAACCGTATAAAAGGTCCATCCCCCAAATTACCAGATTGAAATCACTTGTAATCCGTTTCACCTTAAGTCTGGCCGCAGTCAACGTCACGATCCGATGTTGCCAATCAAGCAGCACCAGAAGGGCATCGTAATGGCTCTCGTCTTTGTGCGTTTTCTGTCACCGTCTCTAAACCAATCATAAGCAGTGAAAGCGGCATCATCCTGCGCTTTTTGTTTTGTGCGTGATCGGCTTTACCGGTTACAGCAAAAGCGCAAAGACGACGAGCGCCAGGACGATACGCTTTTGGCGCTTATTAATGCAGAGCCCATGTTCGTCTGCTTTTTCGTTTTTTTGCAGGGGTTGGGATGACGTCAGAAAGGCGTCGAGCTCTGATTGGCTCTGATTTAACGAATAGTGGGTAGACGTCAAAGTAAGCTGCCTTGAGGTCCACCCACTATCCTTCCCATCAGAGCCAATCAGAACTCGGCGTTCTGACGTCATCACAACCCCTGTAAAAGAAGCAGACAAACTTGCGCTCCGCATTGGCTCCGTCGGATCGTAGCCTTGGGAATTGATAGGGAATTTTAGGGAACCGTTTTTGCACATCCCATACGGTACGATTAGCTCTCCGGTAAGAACTGCGCATGTGCGACTTTTCTGCGGTAGCATACGCGCAGTTCGTAGCGGAGGGCCCATCGTATAAAAGCGGTTCCCTAAAACTTTCTTATGTGACGCACAGTACAACACGAGAACATATACTTTCTGACACCACAGAAAGCAACGAGAATGTCTGATTGTCTTTGTTTAATGATTGGCACTCATACTGTTACACCCGTTAAATGTCCAGTGTGCACCCTAGCACATTGGTTATTGAGGAGAGATTTGGTTTCATAGGCGTTGTTTCTCCGGCAGTTCCGAGGCGCGACAGATTCGAAATTTTCGGAAATTTGTGTCTCGGATTTTCGGGAACATCTAGCGGTGAAGTGTTTTCATACTGGATTCAATCTATTGGCTTAGCGAAGCGGGTAGTCTTTTCTTTTGAGAGCCCTCATTGAAATCACATGTACGCGGCAACGTTCAGCATTTTCGCGTTCCCGGTTGCGGCGCTCATGCAGCCTATTTGAGCGTGCTGTATTCCGAAGCCGCCTTCTAGTTAGTGTCACAGTTTGAAGATACGATATCTATTGCAATATGTCATTGAAGTGTTATGACCCCCTCTTTTGAAGGGCACATTTACCTTAGGAAATGCTCTCAATCGGTACGCGCCCATTCCAATGAAAACAACCGCAAAAGTTATTCAATTCTGCTCTTCACATTTGCAAAGAGGTTGCACCTGCTCCACGCCCGCTTGATGCTCCTCTGCCCTCAGTACGCTGGGCAAAACCGATGATGGAATAGTTGTAATATGTCATTTTCTGCACGCACTGTTCGAGGAATGCACGTCGAGACACATAGTGCAAGAGACGGTCTCAAAGTTAAAGCCCAAGTGCTGTTCTCGAAAACAAAGTGTCACAGCACGCTCTTCGCAACGTATTTTGCGGATCACACAGTGCACCTCACTGTAATCGAATACAGGGTTGGTGCCAGGCACGTAGCCAGGATTTTGTTTCGGGGGGAGGGGGGAAGGGGGGGGGGGGCACCCATGACAAAATGCTGTGTGAGGGGGAGGCGGGAGAGATCTGGGGGGGGGGGGCCCAAGGGTCCCCCCCCCCCCTCCCTGGCTACGTGCCTGGTTGGTGCACAGGTTCAGGGGTGTCACAAGGTTCACACGTATTAATCACAACATGATCACGAGGTCTTCATAAGGTCATTGCAGGATTACTGCAATATTCGCAAGGATACATTAGGGTTCAATGAGGGGTTTCAGCTGTCGCTGTGAGTATTGTGAAATCGCACGCGAATTATTATTTTTGATTGGTATTTTACATACAACGGACCAAAACGGTAGTAGTATAAAGCGCAGTTAAAAGGGATTAACTAACTGACCTACCGAATTCAGCTTGTGGTGTTACAAACACGGATAACACAAAAGAAGCGTGGGGAAACCAAACAAATACGCGTTTTGATTTTGGGATTTTCTGCAGGACTGTGACCAGGCACACATCGATGACGTCGCCTCGGACGACAATGGTCAGGACTTGAGGTACGTTTGGGATGGTAGCAGGCTTTCTTCAGAATGAAGGGACGACTTTTGGCACATCCTCGTGCTTTACGCTAACCAAATTTCCAGCAGAAAAACAGGAACGAGAAGCGTCTGTGGTTGTTACCAAAGTTAGACAGCTCTCTATCTGTTATGCATGATGGGCAAGGAGGGGTGTTTCGCTCTGCCCAATGAGCCGAATAGGCGTCACATGACCTGGTGTTATAAGACGACAGGTCATATGACGTAACGTCGCGTGGCTACGTCCCCTGATCTCGGATAATTTCACCGCTAATTTTAGCGGGGACGTTGACGTAACGTGGCGTCATGATTCCGCCTGAGACCACAAACTTGACGCTGTAACGTAAACTTTCCCGCTAATTCTAGGTACGAAATTATTACACGGGATCTTCTTCACTCCCCGAAACGCCTTTTAAATGTCTTTTAAACAGATTTCAACGATGCTCCTGCGTTTTGTGTACTGCAAGACTTTACATATAAAGCCCACTGGTAAATTTTTCGAATAGACTACGAAGCGCGCCGTTCCGCCATGGCAGCTGGTTGGCAGCGCCCCCTACAATCGCATCCGCGTTATAGACGCTTTGTACATGACCCAGATTGCAGCTGCCGTTGCTGACCTTCTTCGCGTCTTGCCAAGGTACCAAGCCACCGAAGCAAACTTTGACGAGCCTCCACAAAGGGCCGTGCTGGGGAGAAGGACACAGTCGAATCTAAAATGGCAATAACCTGCCCTGCTGTGGTAATGACGGAGCGAAATGATCAAAATAAAAGGAAACCAAAACTGAAGGTCGGTTATGGCGGCGCCCATGCACAGCTTCTGCAAAGCGTCTATACGTCGCGTAGTAAAACGCTACCCGCTCCTAACTTTTCTATAGGGCCGCATGGTCTTGATTGCGTCTGCACGTTCCCGCGGCCATATTTTTCGATCGCGCCCCGGAGCAAACGTTTCGAACCTTGAAATTCGAAACTCTACCCGCTTCCACTGTTGCTCTCTGTAAGTATTCTGACGTCATTCCACCCACAGGAGTACTGAAACTCGGGCTCATACGTGCAGCCCACAGCTGTAAGCGGCAACGACACCACGCCGTCATGTTTTTCATGTATCTGCGCTGGAATATGCCTCCAAGAAGCTCTCATGTGTTCGGCGGTTTGGAAATCACAACCAGAGAAAATTCACCAGTGTCAGTGATCGATAAGATCTACATTAAGTAGTTTACGCGTTTTTAATAGTATAATTAGAATGCCCTCGGCTCGCTGTTTGACCGAGTAGACGTAGTAAGATTGAGGTCACCGCGGCTGTTTGCGACGGCGCATGGAGGTGATATGTAAGCTCACTACCCAGGTCTTGTGTGAAAACATATTAGCGCAAAGTCTGATTCTGAACGTTGTGAATAGCGTTGTGCCTGAGCTGACATTAATTAGAAATTAAGATTTGCATTTACGTACAATCTCTGCTTGGAATTCTCCTTGTAGGTGCCACATCCTTGAGCCAGTCTTAACGCACGCTTCCAATAGGACTATCTTCCCATTTCGACAAGTAAGTGACATTACACATGCGAAGCGTCACCCGCGTATGTCTATCTCCCCGCAGCAACTACAACTTCCCCGCCGATGGCTTCCAGGCCGGCACCGGAGCCACGTCAGGTCCGGGAGGACCGGGGACGGCAGGCCTTTGCCTGTCGACGGGCGTCCGCGGTGGCGTGGACTGGATGCGCAAGCTGGCCTTCCGCTACCGCCGCATCAAGGACATCTACAACCAGTACCGGGGCAACGTGGCTGGCCTACTGGGGCCCAAACGGGAACAATGGCTGCAGCTTCGCAGCGAGATTGAAGTTCACACGGACAACTGGCTCACGCTGGCGCTCAAATGTCTCTCCGTCATACACTCCAGGTACGTAGCCCTGGAAGCCTATCAGAAGCACAGAGCCTAGAAAATGTCGTCGAATGATTGTGTCGTTAGTGTCCTATCCTGACCATAGATCAAAAGTGAACCGAAGTGGCAAGAAATGACGCCGGCAGTACAAACGGATGTGTCGATCCTGGTGGTTCGTGGTAGAAGATCCGGCAAAAAAGGCGAGCAAACGCAAGTGTCGCTGTCGTCACGGGGTTCCAACTCCCGGCTGATTAAGCTTTCGTGGGACGTGAAGCTGGAGAGCGACCTGCGGCAGAACAGGCATCTACCAAATCAAACACCACTGCTTTGACACCGGCAAGATGGATCGCGGCCGGTGATTACATAACACATTTATGACGTCACGAGGCGGAAATGGAGGTACCACTTTTTCATAACGCGATAAAGACAGCTGTGGGGGACGCGTTTCAAGCAGCGTATTATAAGTAAACGTAGTTCCAAGATCTCAGACCAAAGGCAGGCCCAGGGCAGATGTAAGAGGGGCAGATGTCGGCCTTGCTGTGGCGTACATCATAGTTCTATCACTTATGCCATTCCAAATAAATGGACTGCGGTGGAAAAATACGATCGTGCACTAATATTTAAATATATTTCATAAAACGAGCATTTCAGTAACGGAAACAATTTAACTTTTATTTTGAATATAAGCAAGAAGCTTGTCGCGCAGTAATGCATAAGGTATGGCTACTTTTTCTTAAAATAATCATTGACAATATGGCTAACTAACACTGCCTAGATTATGTCGCTTCTGCACGCCTTCTCGCCGATGCACTTGCCTTATTTATCCACTTACGCTCGTGCTCATTAAGTGCACCGCGTCTCGGGGATATGCTTGACGTCCACGAAATTCCTATGGGCCAACCATCTAAGAGAGTAGATAGACAAACAAATCCTGCGATATACAAAAGTAGCTGAGAGTACTGAAATATGAAAAGATCTATGTGAGCCAAAAAAGCAGTCTGCGTCTGGGGCGAAGACTACGCAAGTTTTCATGCACTTAGCGCCCAGTGCTTGCGCAATGTTTTGTTAAATAGTCATGTGAGGTCGTCTTTCATGGGTTTGTTTTGCATATAGGAGTGATTGGTACAAACCCTCCGAATTAAAGATAGAGACGTTCATGATTATTTAGAGTCTACCACTATGAAACGAACATATAGGAGGAAAATGCATTTATGATTTCACAGATTTGACCCATCGTGCATTCTTCCGCCATGGTCTCCAAATTGGCGCATTGTACGTCTAAAATTAAACGAAGTTTTTTGGCGTTCTGAGCTCACTAAAGGGTCGGCGATGGGGTCGACACTTGTTTTATAACTTGTAGGAGGTCTGAAACCACCACAAAACGTCTAATTATTATTATAAAGCAGCACCCGAGTTTGTAGCAATACGCTCACAAAAGCAGGACAAGCCACTCGTAATTATTTTATTGAACCTGCTCCCAAAAATGACTTAATTTAGTTTCTCTGCGATCAATAGGGGACACCCAACTTTTGATTTCTTTGGAACAACTCGGTAACTTATGATTTCCGTTGCTCTTGGTAGAAGGCACTCATGCAAAAGTTTTACATTAAAAACCAAATTCTTTAATAAATTCAATTGATTTTGTGTAACACGAGCCAAGCAGTTAGCTATTGCGTCGTTACCCCTAGGAACAAACTTCTTGAAATGAGCAATTTGCGACAATCGCCGAAGACCGGTTTGGGCGGCAGAGCACTGCTGAAAAATGCTGAATACCACTGGCTTTCCTGACGCTTCCCCTCTCTGCCAGGATGCACACAATCGAGTAAGAAGCAAGAGGAACGAAAAGCGCCTGCGTTTTTCCGCCATCAAACATTCGCCGATAGTGCCTGTGGCGCCAGCGGAAGGCGGCGGTTTACAAATATGCTTCTTGAACCTCTCAAAAGGAGACAATGGTGTCTGATCTGTTGGAAGTACATTCCATCCTGTCTATGCTGCCTCGAACGCGTCTTTGACTGATCTGTTTTTAGCCTCCTAGCCTGCCCATAGATGAAAGGAGGTTCCTAATTTGCAAGAAATGACATCACAGGAGCCCACAGGAGCATACTGTAGGATGTCGCGATTCTGACGGTTAGTGCAAGAAGTTCTGCAAAAAAGTACGAGCGAACAGGAGTGTTGCTCCCGTCGGGGCGTCCCATGGACTACCATGAGCTACCATGGACTACCAAGATGAAAAGCCTCCTTGACTACCAAGATGAAATCCTCCATGGACTACCAAGATGAAAAGCAACTGCAAAAGAACAGGTGCCGATACCATCACCACCACCAACGCTGCGTTGACGCCGAAAGGATCGCGGCCAGCAGTGACATGACACTTCTATGATGCCATCACGCGGGAATGCAGAGACCACTTTTTAAAACGCGGTAAACGCTCCAAGCGGAGGCGCACTTCAGGCACCACAATCCTGTCCTTTACCAAACGGCACTTAATTCACTTTCCCACTGAACATGCAGAAAACCTATAACTGATGACTTTCAATACTACAAATGCGCCTAGTGCCTTGCAGAGTACGGTCACATTTTTAATATACCGCGAAAAAGTCAGTTTGCAGACAATGACTGAGGCGCGGTTCTTTTTTGTATAAAGGTTTCGTCCCATTGGTCGTACAAAAACTCTCCTTAGACATGTTCGAACCATGTGTATGAATGAAGGAAGCAAGCTTCGAAAATGATTGAGGACTGTCCGGATAGTTATATTATCTATTCTTCAGCGAACATCGTGTCTTTTATTAGGATGTATGAACAGTGTGACTGCTGCTTTATAGCGAGTTCTCGCACGCACTGGCACCGTTCGAGTTCTCTCCCAGAATGCATCGCACTCGCAGAGTGTTGCACGGAGAACTGGACTCAAACGAACTCCGCAAATGCACCGAGTGCAGAAGACTGATGCTGCCGCTATCTATGTCGTAGAAAAGGTACCGACCTCAAACCGAAACTAGCGCCTTTCTGTTCGGAGTGATGGGTAGGAATGCGAGAGTGCAGTCGCTACCAACGCTTACCTACAAACGTTGGTCCCTGCAACCTATAGTTTATATTTACGATGACTTCAAGCAACTCGGCTGTCGTAGAGACAGTTACAGACGGCGTAAAGTTCCGCAACCAGCTGTCTACAAAGCAGCTAGTTGCAATTTTTAATGCTTATAACCGTTTACACTGAAGAAAACTGATGATGATGTCCGAGCAAAACTTGATCCGTTTGAGCATGATATTATGCGTGAGCCACTGAAAGGGTACGGCTTAAAACTAGTCTGTTGGAATATTTAGCAAAACGTTTCGTGGGACTTTCGATTTCGATCTAGTTACAGGTGGATCAGATTTTCGCCTTGGTGAGGGCGTCGAGAACGAGAGCTTTCTAGAACAAAATACTAAGGGGCGAGTTAGCTGACGTAGGTAAATGTTAAGCATGACGATGTTGTCCAAGCCCGAGTAAAGTCACTATGTTTATCTTTCTCAGATGCTTAGTGTGCAGTCACAAGTTTCTGCTGGGGGAGTTTTGTCGACAAATGTTGGTGACAAACAACTCTGGGGCCGCTGCTGAGTTTGTTCTGAGCATCTCTTCACACACTTGTATATTTCAGCGTCCATACGGTAACAGAGCGACTTAAAACCCGCAAATAAAGCATGGGTTGTCAATTCCTTCCTTCATGGAATATCAGACACTCACAATATAAGCTCGCGTTTGATTGTGTTGCCCGCGGGACGTGATTTCTACCAGAAAATCTACCTCTTTTTCTTTCGGTTCCGCAGTACGAATGACACATCGCAGCAGACGACCCCTTGTCGTCCGCTCCCACTCCTCGCCGGAGCGGGGCATGACTGGATTGCATTTGGGTGCACGCTCGATTTTCTCAATGCAAAAAGTACATGCACGCGTGAGGTGTCGGTGCTGAAACGAACTCGGAGGGTGGAACAACTCGCGGAGTGCCGGCCGAAACGAACTCGCTCTGCGCTGCCAGTGGGCACGGGTAGGCACGAGGGCCGTGAAACGAACTCGCTATTAGAGAACCAGTCATTGCGATCTCTACCCAAAGAGTTGAAATCCAATATTGGACACCTTAACTTGTAACTTTTAACCATATTGAATTCTTGGACTTGTTCTCTTTTGACTAGGTTACGACATGGCTGTTTTACTTTTTGAATCGTTGGATATCTTGAGCAGAAGTGACATTTTTTGGACTCGCTGGCAATATTCCACCCTCTCTCCCCGATGGTCCCACAGGTCCAGCTGCGCCAACGTACTGGTGACCACGACGCAGCTGGTTCCCGCGCTTGCCAAGGTGCTCCTGTACGGCCTCGGCGGCGTGTTCCCCATCGAGAGCGTGTACAGCGCCACCAAGATCGGCAAGGAGTCCTGCTTCGAACGCATCGTGGCCCGCTTCGGCAAGAAATGCACCTACGTGGTCGTCGGAGACGGCAAGGATGAGGAAGCGGCCGCCAAACAGGTGGGTCGCAGCGTGACACTTCCAAAGAAACGTGTTAGACACCGGTAACACGAGGAAGTAATGAAACAGGTCAGCTCATGCACAGATAGTGCAACTGATGATGAAACAAAATGCTACTGGCAAAAGTAATGAATGAACAACGCTCACCGCGTCCCTTCACTGTCGTGCTTGCTTAGTGATGTTTATTTTTCTAACCGTGACATGCATATATAGAAAGCACAAAGGCAAGACGGCCTGCAACATCCTAAAACTAAAGACTAATTAAATAAGTAGAGTATTTTTCTTAATATTTATGCCCGGTGACAACCTTGCTCTTCTCACTTCCGGTTGGGTATTTATTTTTTCAGCGTTTTATGTTAAAGCATGAAATGCTTTCTAACAGAACCCCCACCCCAAAAATGTGCCCGTTCATCCGTCCGTGTATTTACACTAAATGTAGCTGCGAAATTGACGTCGTGTGACTTATACACCTTAGGGAAATTGACTTCACATGACTTTCCCTGCTAAATTTAGCCATCCCAACCCATCCCTTTCCTCCCTTCCCCCTCCCCTTATCTCCCCATTCCTCCCCACCCCTAGCAACACCTACTGGATTATGATGCAATTAAAATGCAAAGGTGCAAGCGAGCTGGACAAGAATGACGAAATTAACCAGGCGGATTTTTTCGGTCGCTCACCAGTCACCTAGCTGAGTTTGGATATTTATGCTTGTCCTTTGTCCCTCTTGTTCCCCTTCTCCAGGGATTAATTTCGTCGACCTACTGGATAACCCTAGATGGTGTTACTCCTACCTAGGCTGTCCTCCCTATTACACTCCCCTCTCACCTCCCTTCCAGCCTACCTTTCAGTCCCAACCTCTGCCTCCTCCCGCCTCCTCCCGCCTCTTCCTTCCCCTTCTCTCCACATCCCTCTCCCATTCTCTTACCGTGCCCTCTCTCTCTTCCCCCTCCTTCATCGTGTGACATACCAATTCAGTTTGCCTGGTAAATACAGCGGGCAAATATACGTCCTGTGACACACAAGTTCCCTCTCACCATTTCTTTCTTTCGTTTCCTCTCCCCCTCTCCCGATCCCTCATATCACTTTCCTGCAGTGCCCTATACCCCTCCCGATCTGCCTCCGTTCCCTCTCTCTACCTCCCTTCCTTCTCTCCCCCTTCACCTCCCCACGCCGACAGCCACAGTGCCCTTTCTACCCCTCTCCTTCCCCACTTGCTCCCTTCTAGCTCCCCCTCCGTGGTAAGGTGATTGAACTCAGTTAAAAAAAAAAAAAAAAAACTGATAAAAACATAGGTTCTTCACTCCCGGAACAACTGTTTAATCTCTACGGAGCGATTGAAACAATCGCTCTTAAAGATTGCATTTCATGCGTCATGAAACTTTCAAAGTAGAAGTGGCCGCCTTTTTTGTTTTTTGTTATTTGGACCAGATAATTCAAAGGCCGCTTCAAAGTTTCATTGTACTCCATTGTATATTGTTTATCGTAACTTACAAGCCTCCGAGTGTGTCGACGCAGCGCACTTCCACAGCAATGTGAAACACTGGTCAATTCCGCTGACTAAAAGACTATATCACCGAATTCTATACTGAAATTTGTGGCTGTTGAATGAGTGCAAATGGCTAGCTTGCGAAAACCTCCTCCAACCTGCACTTTACGCCTCCAAGATAGGCGTTCATAGAGGTATTATATGGAAGCCCGCTTTGAGCATACGCCGTATACAAGGGGCTCATTTATGGTATGGAATAAACACCACTTTGTGTTAATTCTGCTGGTGGCTCTGGAGCTTTTTATTGTGGCGCGCTATCACGAGATCAATTTGCCTAAAAAATACTTTGTTTGATCATAAATTCGAGCGCAAGCCGGTGCTACCAATTGAAGGCGCCAATCAAGCAGTGCAAAATTCGCAACATCAGAGCGTTAATCGCGAAAATAATCCCTGGAGAAGAGGAACAAGAGGGACAAAGGACAAACACAAATCTCCAAACAGAGCAAGGTGACTAGTGCGCGACCGACAAAATTCGCCTGGTCCGGGTATCGAACCCGGGACCTCTCCATTTCCAGTGAAGTGCTCTATTAACTGGGCTAACCAGGCGTTAGACGTCAGTAGAGAAAACGGGTTTTATCAGCTGCCACCAGTCTAACATCAACAAGGGTCAAAGGCTTGCATTTTAAGGTTATGATTACAATGCAATTAAATGCAAATGTGCAAGCAAGCTGTCATGAGTTCTGTTCTGAGATGGCTGAAATAGCCAGGTTATTTTTAAAACTTTTGAACTGCCTCTTTATAATCAACTTTATTAAGAAACTCAAGAAACACCAGCCACAAGGTAAATGCATAATTGTCTTAATCACATGAACACCAGCAAGACTGCCGCTGATTTGAGAACACGATAGAAGGATTTTTTTACAGGCTTGTCATTCTGCATAGGGGACGACAATACATATAACCGAAACACATAAGAAATGTAACAAACTGGTGCCTGTATGTTTGGCAGTATTACGCCCGGCTTATTCTCTCGTCTTAATTGTTAGACTGCGGCACACAGCATCTTAACACTATAATAGATATTTAGGGCCCTTCATCTTTGGTACTATGCTTGTTAGTTGGTTCTAACTCTAGTTTATTGATGCCCGACACTATAAAAGTCGTCTCGCACGCGTAAGTGAATCGATGTACCTGCGAAAATGCCATCGACAGAGTTCTATTTCCAAATTTGAATTCAAAATTAATATTTGCTGACTACAGGTTGGAATCAACATGCTGGACACATTGCATTTTTATTTAGGAGATAGACGGCAGAGCGCGTTAGCGCACAAGAGCTCGGAGCACGTTGGGAGCGAAAGCTCGCGCAGCAGAACCCGCAGATCTTAAGTTCAATCCCCACCCGCACCCACTTAGACCTGGATGAGTATTGTACTGCGTGCGTTCGTGTATCACTACTGCGTAATTCACGTTAAAGACCCCAGGCTAGCACTACTTCTGCATTGGCTAAATTACTCATCTATAGCGTAAACCAGTGTCGCCGCACCTCAAAGGCGGAACGACCTTACGCTGTCGAAACACGAACGTCAAATTAGTTTTTTGCAGGGTTGGGCGGTATCGCGATACAAATGTATCGCGATAGTATTTCAGAAATACATTTCGTATCTGTATTTCTGTATCGCGATACATTTTTTTCACCAGTATCTGTATTCCTGTATCGGAATACATTTTGAATGTTCCTTTGTATCGCGATACAATCAGGGTGAAATGTATTTCGTTACATTTCTTGAGGAATACTCCCCCCCCCCCCCCCAAAAAAAAAAAATAATAATAATAATATATATATATATATATATATATATATATATATATATATATATATATATATATATATATATATATAAACGAATCTGGAGGCTTTTCTTTTTTTTTTCTGAGTGCACCAGGGTTAAGGAGATGCTGGGAATTTGTTACCATGCTGACCAAGGTTCCTTCCGATTCTCCTAACTATTAGTCTGTGCGTCCTCTTCTCTCTTTTGAGAAGTGTTACGCAGACGGGGACTCGAACCAGGTGGCGTGCCAGGAGTGGAGTCAGAGCATCTGCTGCTGCAGGTCCTTAGGTAGAGATTTCTTGAGTCATTGCTTGCTGGGATCGAATGCCCGCGGCTAACCGTCTCTTTTGCCGTAGCGTACACAGAATACCCAGCCGGCAAAGCTGAGTCACAGTCCGTTGCAGCACGAACGGTGGTTAACTTGAAATAGTAGGATGACCCACGCACTGAAGTTCCACACATATTCGAATGCGTCTGCGGATGCGCCCGTAATATTGCACGGCTCAAGGGTACATCAGCCGAAGTGAACGTGACCCGCTGCTGTGGTGCTCCGAAACCTAGGAAGGAGGCCAGATGTGGCCTCGCTGTGCCGACCCAGACTTCGTACACCTGCGACTCGTCTCGAGTGCGCTGTTTCTCGGAGAGCACGCACCTGTGCCGACAATCTCAGGTCGCATCCACAAGGGCCTCTGTTTGGATGATGCTAGGCAAAAATTGAGGACTGGCATTCTATGCGTCGGTGGCGGAGGGTCGGCAGGAAGGACCTTCACAACAAGGTGCCATCGTATCGGTTTTTCAACCGTAACAGAAGATAAGACAAGTGTTTCAGGATGCTTCAGGTAGTCCACTATTCTTAAAAATTCTAAATGACACTGCCTGCGCGATGTCCAACGAGGTAACTTACAACGAAAGTACGTATTGTCCTTTTGTACAGCAGCGTCGTAAAGTTTCATGTTCAAGGCGACACTTACAGATCAAGGATACCAGCTCATTCCACCCTGACGTCATGTGATCAATGTTGACAGGGGCGGCCTTATTGGACAGGGGCGTGGTGACGTTTTGATGGGATTTTGGATGACTTGGAATTTATTTAGAGGTCGAAGTCTTTTCGCATCCTTCATCAGACAACAGAATGCCAGGGAAGGGACCGCAGTCAGTCCTTAATGGAACGTGTTTTTGAGCCCATTGAAGACTCCTCGTCGTCCGGAACGACTACCTTCAAGGCAAAGTGCCAAGCGTACGGGAAAGTAATTTCGGGATCAAAAACTTCCACTTCCAACTTCAAGCTTTATCTCATTTCGCGTCTCAAACAAATTCGAAAAATGTATTGCAGTATCAGTATTTCTGTATTTGTATTTCTGCCCTCCCTAAAATGTATTCCTGTATTTGTATTTCCAAAGATTTTTGCCTCTATTTGAAATGTATTTCCGATACGTATCGCGATACACTTCTACAGACATATTTCAGTATCAGTATTTTAGCTACTATTTTAATGTAGCCCAGTATTTGTATTCCCAGATACATTTTTGAGTATTTCTGCCCAACCCTGTTTTTTTTTTTTGTCTTTGTATGACGAAGTCATCAAATATACTTCAGGATGGGCTAACGTCCCGTTCAGGTAGTCACCATACAACGAATTTAAGATGGACTTCATTGCGGTTTATTTTTGTCTCCCTTGCAGCTGGGCTTCCCGTTCTGGCGAGTGAGCAGCCATTCTGACCTGGCCGCCCTGCACCACGCGCTCGACCTGGGCCACCTGTGAATAAGACATGTATGGTGCCCGTTATAGACAACCAAGACCACGAGACCACATTCCGTCGAGTCCCGCAGCGCGCCAGCGCCGTGAGATTCCATCCATATGGGACCACATGTGGCTATCGAAGGACGGTAGCAAAACTCCTGACACTAGTCGCACCGCGCCTCTCATGGACACCAGTGACCCCATGACCAAGCATATTTCTCTGCAGAGTACTTGTGTTCCTGGTACTCGAACGTTCCTTCTGTTCCGTAAGATAGAAAGTACCACCATGCCGTAGTACTTACGCTACAAGTGATGCGTGGAGCAGATGTCAAGGACTTTGGTGTTCGAGGGATTTCATACTCAAGACAAGTTGTCGCCGAATATCAGTGGCTCGATGACACAGTACGTTTCTCTGAAGACGCAACTTATGATCGAAGTACTCGAGCATTGCCTCTGCCATGGACTGGGAAGCACCTGCACCAATCAGTACTTACTCTGCAGATCACTCTGTGCTTGCCTCGAGACTTTGGGCGTCTCGATGAGTTCAACGTCCAACTTAGTGGCATTCGGACGTCGGCGCCTTGATGACAGCATGATGACAGCATGCTTCACCACACAGTACACGTGTTTAGAGTATTAGACTACTGCTTGACTGCAGCGCATTTACGCCGCAGGCGGAAGAAGTCTTCTCCACTGGGAGTCATCGTATTCTGATAACGTTTTGGTGCCACTCAAACATGCCAGTTGCTCCACGTCGCAGAATGTTTCCCTACCGGGATGCCTGTGTAGAGGTTTTTTCGTCACAATGAAGAAAACCGTTTCTGTGCTGCAATACTTACAGTACGGATTGCATGAAGCCAATCTTCTGTCAACGTAGCTTTGACGTTTGAGAACTTGTATTGTCGCTTTGGGAGGGTGGCAGGTGTCCAGATATCTGCCAAGAAACCGGATTCAAGCAGTCACAGCTGGTCATTTACTACGTTTCACTTTAAGTGCATGCGAGGCCGAAGCTACAGGCGCGAGCATGTGGGCCTGAACGGTGCTTGCACCGCACGAGCGCGCGAGCTTGGCAAGAACGTTGGAAGCCCAGTGCTCGCTCTTGTAGCTTCTGCTACGCTCACTCTTAAGGCCTGCTCTCAGACGCAGCGAAGCGCTGATGTAGCGCTGCTCATATGTCGTCAGCTACTTATCATCTGCCATGAGCAACAGTTTTGACGGTGTGACAAAAAGTTGGTGAACGGTCCCGACAGCACGCGCTTTGTGCGAGGTCAGGGATATTCTTGTAGCGCTCCACTGCATGTGTGAACAGGCCTTTAAAGTGGAGCGGAGTATAGCTGTATTAATTCAGATTCAAAATAACGTGTCTAGAACATACCAGATCTATATACAAATGAGGTTGGCGTTCTTTCCAGTCAAACGCGTTTTGGAGGCTCCCCTGCCCAGATTATGGCTGCAGAAGGCGCTGTTTGTGCTCGCATTTGCAGTTGGGGATTGAAAATTATTTCATTGAGGTATGTGTGCTCGTCCGGCCGCCGGCCAGTTTGTCAGAGGTCGGCTTCCAGCCCGACAAGAAGCCCAATAAAAAGGTACCAGCCTAAGAAACTACGCAGCACTGATATTCGAACTTTAAGAATAGTTCCAGAAGAGATAATTTGCAGCACTTGGCTACAATGGAACCGTTGTGGACCCTGAGGCAATATGTTGGGGCAAAACTCATATTGCCTGTAGACCGACGCACTGTTTACAAACAAGCCCGCGTTTGCCCACAACGGGCGTGGGCATTGCGCATGAGCAGAAACCAGATTCGCGTGAGGCCAAGCTTCTGCGCATGCGCAGTGCCGACAGCAGCGCCACCGCAGCAGCGTGACGTCAGAGAGATGAGTTGGTGTATACTTCGTTTCATTATATGTCTGAGCATAGTCAAAGTCACGAGCGCAAAGAACCAAGAAAACACGCACTAAAAGCGCAAGTCACTTGACCTCCCATCTACATGATTGATTTGACTAGGATACAAGACGTACAGAAACATGACGAACGCCATGACGTTGCGTTTTTGACGTTGTTTGACTGATCCCTTCGGCTCGTGGCGTCGACTGCGTCCGGACTTGTGGTGAAACCAAATATAATGGACTGCACTTTTCACTCTGCTCTGCACTCACAACCTTTTTTACTGTATTGTGCAGCGGTCTTGGAGGCTCCTGTACTGACCTTTGAAGAAACAGGAGATTGCGCAGGCACTGTCCTATACTCCACTTCACATTAAGTCCGACCGTAGCTAACGCTGCGATCTAATGATGCCAATCAAGCAGAGACAAAAGTGCTTCGTCATGGCGCTAGTCGTCTTTCTTCTATTGGATCATAGCTTTGGCTGCTGTTAGACTAAATGTAAAACGAAATATAGTATGCTTTGTTGGTCCCGGCGATTAGAAGCCAGCTTTTTCCAACTTTTGCTTTTGTGTACTGCCACTGCAGTGCTACATTATCTACATACCTAGCGGGATATCTGCACATTACTCGAGCCTTGTGCATAATCACGTATAAAGCGCGAGACACAAGGACGGCAGAATCGTCCGATCCGACGTCCGATCCGACAGTCCGAACGCCGCTCCGAATCGTCGTACGCGACAGTTTGAGACATATGCTTCCGACCTTGCATGCGACACGACGATCCGTTCGGCTCCGCCCAGGGGATCCAAGCACTCCAGCGGAGGTCCGTGTTCATAGATCTCTGGTCCTAGATTGACGGTTTAGCTCGCACGAACGAAGTTAGGAGCTCGTTCTCGCTAGCGCGTGCATACTTTGCCGGAGCCATCTTTTTCGAATGGGTCAGCGGGATCCACGCGTTCGGCTTCCCGTCGCCCGTCCCGTTCTCTTGTTCGTCCCGCCAGAGCCAGTACGTCATCATGACATTCGCGCTAGCTGTGCTGTCATTGGCTGGACGCATCCGACAATCCGTCCGCCGTGCGAAACTATCTGGCGCGTTGGACGCACGTCGGATCGCCGATCCGACGCCTGAAGTCGTATTGCCGGATCGGACGTCGGATCGGATGGATTTTTCGCGCATGTGTCTCGCGCTTAAAGCTATTTTTTTTTTGTGTGTTTGTCAGATTGTAAAATATTTTAAGGTTCAGAAGGAAAACTAACCAAAACAGTTAATATTTTATCCACCTGACTGATTTAAAGGACATTTACAGGGCTTGTTTCTGTTGCTCTGGAAAACATCTGTGCCAAATTTTGTTAACCTGAGTGAAGTACAAAACAAATTGCAAATGTTCGAAGGAAGTGGGCGTGTCTGTGTAGGAAAAATATCATTCTGAAATTACTTACAAATTTGTCGTTTTCATGTGTTATATTGCTTTAGGACAGTTCAGAGCAGATAGCTATGAAGCTATATTTTTGTATTATACTATCGTTAATGACAAAAAAGCCACATAAACACAAAACTGTTTTTTAGATTTCCATACTTTGTCCAAAATTTTAGTTCTTGAGCATGAAAAATAACAAAAATAAAAGAAATACAAGCTCATAGATATTTTCCCTTTAAAATTTCACCCACGAAAAACTCATAAAAATGAATCCAAGTTACGTAATTACAAAACGATAGTTTTCCCAAAGCAAAATTTTTTATTGTAGTTGGTCTTTTGAGAAGTGTGACCACGGAACTGTTCGGCCGACACATCCGTCTTGATCAAGTTCAATGTCGTACTATAGTGTCGTTTGTTTAGCATCTCGCACGGAGGCTGTGCGGTTGTGGAGTGTGTCGTTTCACTATACTTCCGAAGGAACTCTCTCCAGGCCTTTCTTTTCTTTACTTTTCTTGGATTTTCGTAAGGCAGCCTTCAGCGTTGTGACAAAATCATCGGCCAATCCGTTTAAGTGGGGATGGTAAGGCGGTGCTAGAATATGCTGGATGCCCTACTGCTCTAGAAAGCCCTTGAACGTGACGCTACTGCACACTGGGCCATTGCCCCGACCACCTGGTTTGGCAGTTCATGACGACAAAACATGTCCTTGAGCGTATCGACCATTGCTCCTGCTCGTGTCGACGTTATAAGAGTGACTTCAGGCCACTGTTGTAGGCGTCTATTACCACCAGATACACGGTGTTCTGGTATTTCGCAAAATCAGTAAGAATTCTATTCCAATGTCGCTTTGGGACTTTCCACTGATGTACGGGAACTTTCCTCTTCCGATCGGGAACTGAAGCTCATGCTTCGCAGGACCGACTTTTTGCCTCAATATCCTTGTCCGTGTTCGGGTACCAGATATAAGAACGGGCAAACATCGTCATTTCAATTGTCCAGATATCCTTCATGAACTTGGTCGAACACTCAATGTTGAAACCTTGGAGGAAATGTGCGCATACCTCAAACTAAATAGTCGTTTACCTCGGTGAGTTCTGACTGCCTGGATGAGAATGGATATGTTACGGCGTTTCGTTCAACCGGCGGACATTCCTGCATCACGCAGCGGTAGACCTACGACAGTGTTTTGTCCTCAGTTGTCTCTACAGCGATGTGTGATGCACTGACTAGAAGTTGAGTCATATTTTCTTGAACGTTCGTCAATTTGTCTGAAAAAAATCAAGCTCACAACATTGGCCACTCCATGTTTTACTTCAGCGCCAACTTGGGCACAGCTCCTTCAGGCAGTCTTGACAAACCATCCGCATTTCCAAACTTGAATGTTGGCGTGTATTTAATTTCGTAGAGTACCCTTGCAGGACCCAGGCCCATCGCTGAAGTCTTTTGGCAGCCGTCATAGGAATTCCATTCTCTGGTTCAAAATAACTGTCGATGGCTTGTGATCGGTGTACAGGGCAAACGTTCTAGCCTAAAGATATTGGTGAAAGGTTTTTACACCAAAAATACTTGCGAGAGCTCGATCAATCTTGGTATATTGTTTTTTGATGATGTTAACGTTTTAGATGTATGTGCAATTGACCACTTTTGTGGAAGATGACAGCTCTAACGCCAACCGATGACGTATCAGCTGCCAGGTAGAATGTCCCACTTGAATCAAAGTGAACGAGAGTCTACATGGATGTCAAATGAGATTTTATGAACTCAAATGCTTCCACAAAGGGCAAGCTCCACTTCCAAAAAAACACCCTTTTGAGCAGTATGATCAGCGGTGCGCAAAGTTCTGCTAACCCGGCCAAATACTTCACTAATATTGTGCCATGCCCAGAAACACTCGTAGATCATGAAGGTTAGTTGGATCTGGCATGTTCAGTACTAATTTTCTTTTTCTTTTGAGATAGACATATTCCTTCGCCTCACAAAATGCCACATTTTCCAGACCAGAAGTTACTTGTCCCATGGTCCGCGGAAAAAACGCCCGGCGCTGATGATATCCTAGATTGAATTTGGTTGAACTGGAACAATCCCTTGTGTGCGTTGATAACGAAATATTTCTATGTGTTCTCATCCAACTCCGTCTGTATGTATGCCTCCGACAGATCCAGTTTCGAGGACGTCTCTCCTCCTTTGAGCTTCGAGAAAAGTTCTCGAAGTCGTGGAAGCGGGTACTGAGCGATATTCAAATGAGGATTGACATTCACGCTGAAATCTCCAGATACCCTCACGGATCCGCTGTGCTTCGGAACAACAACCATCGAAGTGGCCAACCGCACTGTTTCCACTGGAGTCGTAACTCTATTTTAAACTAGCTTCTTCAAGCCAGACTCCACCGCTTAGCGTAATGCTAACGGTAGTGGTCGTGACCGCATGCACTTGGGGATGACGTTCTTTTTGAACTTATGTGCAGCCTTAATCCTCGTGCGCATGGCAGGCTCATTTATGCAGAGTTCTGCATACTAAGTTCAATGTGTTGAGGCTTTCTTTTGCGCCCACAAGCGCCACGAAAAGGTTATTGGGATCCACTTTGAGTGCTCTCACCCAGATTCTCCCGAACATTTTGACAAGCCTTGTGTTGGTAAAGATTGCCTCGAAACTGTACTCCTTTCCTTGAAATCGAACTTTGAAGTTCACCTTGCCCCTTGATCTTGATCGTGTCCTCGTTAAAACTTTGCAGTTTGTGACGAGCTTCTCCAAGCTCTGGTTTCCCGAGGCCATGCCGAGTTTGAATGTCTAGTAAGGTGACGTTTTAACCTGTGTCTGTTCGAGATTCCATTCGCTCGCCTTCAATCTTGCATTACAAGAAACTTGCTGTCCTGGCACTTGTGACTACTTGTACCTAGGCTCGTCTCTCGCCTATTCTCTTCTCGGCTGCAGGCCGCCATGTTTTAAAAGGAGCACCCCTCAGAGCACGCTCAGCCAACACGCTCAGCCGTGTTTAGCGGAAGAAAAACACGGTGTATCGTGTCAAGCTTACACGGCACCTGATGTGTAGAAAAATAACACACATGGCTGCGTGTATAACGAACACGTTATGACGTGTCCGCTATGGGACAACGGGTTACACGTCTGGGCATGTTCTTTTTGCTAACAGTGTACTAATACCAGAATAAGAGCCCTAATGCCTCCTACATGGCGCCAAGGCATTGATTAGCAGACGACAATGTTGGTCTTGATTTAGAGTCTAGCCGGATTGTCTAGCCGGATGTTGTTCTTGGTTTAGAGTCTAGCCCCTTTTTTTCG